ATAGTGGAAACACTGCAAATTTTCACTTTTGATAGTCAAAAGCTTAGACAAACAGGAGCACTGTTTGTAGAGCTACAACAAACAGAAAAACATACACTGAAATCAACTAGAAGAAGAGATTGGATTTATACCCCACCCTTCACTTGGAGTCTCAGAGTGGCTTACAACCTCCTTTCCCTTCCCCTCCCCACAACAGACACCCTGTGAGGTGGGTGGGGCTGAGAGAACTCTGACACAAACTGCTCTTTTTCAAGGACAGCTGTGCCAGAGCTTGTGACTGACCCAAGGTCACATCAGCAGGTGCAGGTGGAGGAGTGGGGAATCAAACCCGGTTCTCCCAGATTAGAGTCCACACACTTAACCACTACACCAAACTAATCATGCAATGTGGCTAATCAGTATTCAGATAATGGTAATTCTGTCTACTTAGAATTTATATATCTCTCCTTATAATAATTCAGTAAGACGCAGACTGACGCAGAGGAGAGAAAATGTGCACCATTAGTGTATCGCCGGCACTCCCTAGTATATATATATATATATATTTACCACATCTAAACATTCATTACACCATACAATATAACCTTATCTGACCTGATCCAGTAAAGGAAAGCCAAGTCTGTGGGAGCAGTGTTCTGCATGCCCAGCAGATATTCTTCTCCACTCACACCATGTGGCCACCAAGTGTCCATTTTGGTTTGTCTTTCTTTTATATGCTCAATCCATTTTATAGAATCTGGTCTGTTTTGCAAGTCATGTGAAGCTAAAAATCCCCAGGAGTTCTAGCCAGTGTTCCCTCTAAGCTGAGTTACTGTGAGCTAGCTCACCGTTTTTTAGCCTCCAGCTCACACATTTTTGTCTTAGTTCAGGAAGGATGGCTCCAGAGCAAACTAATTTATACAGAAAGGCAAATCCCTTGCTCACAACTTTTAATGCCAGTAGCTCACAAAGCAGAATTTTTGCTCTCAGGACTCCACAGCTTAGAGGGAGCATTGGTTCTAGCCATTGGGACTTCAAAATGCAGTGTCAGTAAGATGTGCCTAATCTCATCAAAACTGGATTCCCTGAGATTTGTAGAACCCCCCCCCCAAAAAGAAAATCCATACATGGCCCTATAATTGTGTGGATTTTTTTGATCCCTACTCTGGGCAATGTTCATAATTAGATATATAAATGTGTGATACTAACTATTCTGACTTCTTGATTTTGCTAATTCTTACCTTCAGTAAGTTATTTCTTCTCACTTTATTCCAATTCAGATCATTGCATTATTATCTTCAGTAAGTTATTTCTTCTCACTTTATCTGGATTTTGAGTATTTCTTCCAAATTTGTAGAGCTGTCTCACTACTTTAGTAGTATTGTGTAGATTACTGATCAAATGCAGGATATTCCTTTAAGATGCATGTAGTATCTAAGCTAGCAACTCCTTTAGCCTAGGGTGGAGAAACAATAGAGGGAAGGTTTTCTTTCTTATGCTGAACCCATTCTAAGTATGGATTTGGGCTGAATTAGAAAATAGGCCACATGTCCACTAGCACATGTCCAGGGAAGGCTTGTCTTCCGGAGCACAAATAGTAACTTTTTCAGTGCTCATTTGGGTCCCTTTTAATTGTCTGGACATATCTTTTGATGCTCATTTAAACTGTTATGAGTGACTACAGATGGAACTGGAGAAGAAGAAGAGTTGGATTTATACCCTGCCCTTCACTACCTGAAGGAGCCCCAGAGCAGCTTACAATCCCTTTCCCTTCCCCACAACAGGGGAGAACAGCTGTATGTAGTGGAGTGGGGAATCAAACCCAGTTCTCCCAGATTAGAGTCTGCGCTCCTAACCACTGCACCAAACTGGCTTACACTCCATGCATTATACAGGAAGGTTAGGCTAAGAGGAGAAGGACTAAGCCTTAACAGTAGAGCTCATGGTTTACATGCAGATGGTCCCCAATTCAGTCCTTGGACCTCCAGCAGAAAGGATACCAAGCAGAAAAGTCTGGGCAAAGGCCCTGCCAACACAAGCCCACAAAGAGCCATTGCTAGTCAGAATGGACAACAGTGAACTAGAAAGACAGGTGGCCTTAACATGGCATAAGATATGGTAATTAGTCCAAGTCACCTTCACAAGTTAGAACAGATCTCATTCTTTAGGTTAATATTCTTTATGTAGGTATCATATCAGCCATAACCACATTTTAAACACTATAACAATTTGATGAAGAAGAAACTGTAAAACCACCTTATGTTAGTTCAGGACTCAAGCATAATTTCTCTGGGTCAGGAATTTGCATAATAGCTTTTACTCACTAATGAATAACTACTCACCTCCCCCCCCAAAAAAAATCTGGAATTAGGATGAAATGGTTTAGGTTTAAACCCCAACATTTTATTATAGAAGATGAAGCAGTGTTAAACCATGTCACCTCTCACTGCAGAAAAAATATGGTCTTCAGGAAGATCCAAATACATTTCTAGGATGGAGGAAGTGATTTGCAGGAAGGATGTAATTTAGAAATCTACCATTTTAGTAATTAGGGCACCAATTAATTGTTTTCTTTCCCCCACTTCCTGCTTTCCCAACAGTTCTGAATCCTACCCCGGCTCTTAAACCCTGCAACATCCCTTGAGAGAATAATATAGGTACACAGACTAATTAAATCAACGAAGGTCCCGGTCACATGGAGGGTTTTTGCCCGGGAGAGGGACGGATCGGGGGCACAGCAAACGGGTGCGATCTCACTGCAACATCTGGGAAGCGGCACACACCCGTCCCCAATCTGTCCCTACCCCCGAAAACCCGCAACAAAAAAGAACCACCGACAGAGGTGGTCTTACCTGAATGGCCGCGGCAAGCGCAGCCGTGGGATCGCCGGCGCGTCCTTCTACCAGCGCATCCCCAGCTCCTGGCTGAACTGTGCATGCGCATGCATGCGCAGCCGGCTGCCTCGGTCTCTGACCGTGGCTTCTTCCCCAGCATCTGATCGTGCCAGGGAGCAACGGCGCCGCAGCTCAGGGGATCCATGTGATCCCGCTGCGCCGTGTCTATTTTTGTGCGGCTTCCAAAAGCCACACTTTGGCCATGCATTTTCTCCCCCGTGTGGCAGGGGCCAAAATCACTTTTCCTTGTACAGCTGACTGTGTGCCGTTTTGAAGATATACACCTTCTGAGACTTCTACTCATGCTTGTTTGTGATAACTACATGTGTAAATTGGAGATGAAAGGCAATAACTGGTACTAAAACCTCAAGTGTATTTTATATTTAGCACATACTTCCATGTTTTTGATGAAGGGTCTGGTAAACAGGCAGCCCATCTCTTCATAGTCATATTTTTGTGAATATACAGATACTTCGAGATGTGTATAAGTATTAATGCAGCTATTCAGTATGACAACAACAGGCCCCACTCCATGACATCTCTAGAACCTATCCAAAAGTCTCAGGGTTTAGGATGGAGACCTGGCAACCCTTTGCCCACCTTCCATGTACTCATGCCCCTTCTTCATAAAATCTCTGGCTGCTGTAGGCCAAGTTCAAACCTATAACCAGTGCAAAGACCCATGATCCTATCCTATCCCACACATACAATCTCATGAGTTATTTTATTGTTATTATTATTATTTTATTATTTTTCTCAATGAAGGGGTTTCGCTGACCTTATCAAAGAATAAGTTAAGTCTGATAAATTATAAAGCAGGTGCCTGTGTCTATATTACCTTTTTGTTCCTCACAATAACCTACAGCATTTTTTGGATCCTTGCCCACAGTTCACTGGGGCCCAGTAACAGGGCAAACAGCAACCATGGTCAATGTTTCACTAAGCAACTACTGTCGGGGGTGTCAAACATACCACCCAAGGGCCAGAACATGTCCCATCAGATCTCGGAAGCTAAGCAGGGTCAGCCTTGGCTAGTATTTGGAAGGCTGACTTCCATGGAATACCAGGGTTGTGAGGCAGAGACAGCTAATGGTGAGGCAGAGACAGGTAATCTTGCCTTAAAAACAAGTCTCACTTGCCACCTAGTGATGCATAATGCTAAAAGATTACCTTCTGCTTGCCAGACAATCTTAGGATCTCCTGGCTATTCTACACACAATGCCATACGATAATTACCATAACTAATCCGGCTCCTGAGCAACTGGTGATTTTTACTGCTGTGCAATATGTCCCTGTATACCGTCCCAGTGCTAATGAGTAATGGGCAGTGAAAATGGGAGGTGGGCATCAGGAAGATACTTTAAGGAAATACTGTAATACAATGTTTTAAGCATGTTTGCATTTTGAGTAAAAATAATATTAATTGGGTTTCCCTGGGCCCTTTATAAAGTTTATATCTCCCATAACTAGCATTACATTTTTTGGCACACATGGCCCAGCCCGACACAGTGACATTTATGTCAGGTCCGGTCTTCGTAACAAATAAGTTCGACACCTTTCATGCAGATTTTAATTTCTTAAAACTAGTTTTACTTTCCCGTTACTTGCAATGCGAAGATCACGCCTACAAAGCAGAAATCAGAGAGAGGGGAAGAACATTTCCTGCACTGAGTCATACTTTCTCGATCTCTTTCGATCGATCACGAGACAGACCAACCTCCCCGCATTGGTGGCGTGAACAGACTTTGTTCCCTTCCCACGACTCGCCCACCAGCCCTGCGAAACAGCGTTCGTTGTGACGTCAGCAGCAGGGCTTTCGGAGCCCGGAGCACAGACCAGGCCAGACCATGTCCAATACAGAATGGGGGAAGCACAGTATAAGAGATCTCTAGGAGAAGCTCATCGGACGTTCCTTTCGCCGCATGAAAAGTAGGCTTTCCCAACTAACACATATGTTGATGTGCTTCAAATTTATCCAAGTTTGCCCTCAACAGCGCGGCTGGAGGAATTTTTGAAATTCTAATCCCCCCCCCCGTCTGCAGTTGGGAGCTTCCGGCTGCGTCAGTGCCGGCAAGAGGAGTTGTACGATTTTGGGCTTCTTTCCGCAGAAGCCGGGTGCGTCCGCGTGGCTGTGCTCGGAGGACTCTGGGGGGTGCGCCAGCTCTTTCTCCGTCCTGGGAGTTCTTTCCCGGCGGTTGCGGCTCTTTCCTCCTCTCCAGCTTCAGGACATAGGAAGAAAGACGCGGCGGCAGTCGTCTGGCAGGTTAGCGTGTCCCGTTCCGGAGGCTTCTTCCCGTGCTCGCCTGGCTTGCCGAGTGTAGCGTGATTATGTATCAAAGCCCTGCTCGCTCCCTGTGCTCGGCCCTCTCTAACTTCTGTTGCGCTCCTTCCTCCGCCGCCTCGTCGTCCCTGCTGCGCCGGTCTCCTGTGCAGGTGAAAAGAGCTCTCTCCCCGCCGGCCCTTCTCGCCTCCGCCTCCTCGCGCTGTGGTTGCTCCGCTGCGGGTCCAGGGGCTGCGTCTCCTCACGCTGGTGAGTATTTGGGTTTGGGACCTTCGGATGTAGGAGGGAAAAGGGGAGGGATCCCTCGATCCGGAGCTGAAGGGCCCGCATCACACTAGTAGCTTGGTTTAGAAAGGTTTTAGGCTTGGGATGATAGGCGCCATTCCAGCACCTTCATCCTCGCAACAACCTTGTGAGGTAGGTCACTGCCATTTTACACGTTGCGGGGGGGGGGTGTCGTTAAAGCTGGGAGTCGAAGTTATGGCTTTCGGTTTTAGCTCATCAGCTGCTAGGATGAGATCCGGGGGGGGGGGTGCTCTTTGTGATGCTGTCCAGGCTACACAGTGTCCTGCTTTCATATCGGTTGGAGATTCAGCGCATGCCAGATGCAAATTCTTGTGTGTGGGTGAGTTTCTGCTATTCACTGTATGTTAATGGTAATGGTTCCAAAGATGTTGGTGGTGTGGCAGGAAAAATAAACAGGACTGTTGTGGCATCTTGAAGACTAATGAAACTTTATTCCCGCATATATGTTTGTGGAGTAGAAGCAGGTATGTGAAACTGGAATAAAAACTTGTTAGTCCTTAAGGTGCCACTGGGCTCTTGTTCGTTTGTTCTCTTAGTAAGGTATTGTGTTACATTATCATGCAGTACATTTCCCACTGCACAATGTTCTTGGTTTTACTGCCTTGTTAAGATAAGGTTCAAGCTCCTGGTTTATTTCCTTGAGTTACTTACTTCAGCACTGAAGGAAGCGTTGTCTGTGCTGCCATTTCAAGCAATGCCTGTGGCATATTTAGAGGGGAGGTATGCTAAAATCCTTGCTAATTATGGTTGTGTGTTTGTGCCTGGGTGGAATGGAAAGAACTTTACACTGTTTTGTTTCTTCTGTATTTTAGCCTGCTTTTGATCCACAGATTGGCTTCCAAAGTGACTAATGCATTCTAGTGGGGTAGCCATATTAGCTTGTGGCAGCAACCCCCACCCCCACCCCAAAAAAGCGTACACTTCCAGGAGCATCTGGTGGAGTGGGCTCATGCCCATGGAGTCTGGCAGGCATCAAAGGACTATTCTTTTGCTGTTTTTAAAGCTGCTAATGGCACTAGGAATCCAGTTGGGGTTTTTTTAATAGAACTCAGGAAAGGGGCTTTTCGCAAGATCTAGGCACAATGGAAGGATGGTGTTCTCAGCAGAGGCCTAGTGCTACTCTTATGTTAAGTGTCTGTTAAATCCTGCTGGAACTAAGGAATTCACTCCCAGCTGACTTCATCTGAGTTGAATTTCTATCTGTCCTTACAATATTTTGAACTTATCTGGTCTCCATTAAAAAAAAATAATCCTAGTAGCCTTCTGTCATAGCAGACAAATGAAATTAAGATATAATATACATAAGCACAGGGAATACCCTTGCACCCTTCACTCCCAGCTGACTTCATCTGAGTTGTATTTCTATCTGTCCTTACAATATTTTGAACCTATGAGGTACATTTCTAAACCCACCAGTAAAATAACATAATTTCAAATGTTTTAATGTAAAACCACAGATTCTCTTCCCTTGCCCTCTTAAGTCGAATTAATCTGAACCAAAGAATCTTCTCTGCTTCTTGAGATCAAACTAAACAAAACATGAAAGGTCTGTGATTGGATAAATGTTTGACTGCCCCCCCCCCCCAAGAATCTCTGAAGACTCTCTGGTTCAGACTTTAATTTAAATAAATAAATAGCTGCTGGAGGTGGACGGGAATTGATTTAGGACAATGGTAAGAGAATAGGGATAATCTTGATGCTCCAGATTGTGTTTTTGATGTAAATCACACACCCTTCCTCCTGATGTCCTAATATTGAAGCAAATAACAGCTGGGCAGAGTGCAGCTTACATAGCAGAAGGGTGAAATTCTCTTGTTTCTTACCACCATGTTCTCATCTGAATTCTATACCTCCTCCATCTGCCATTAACAGGATTTTAAAGAGATGGGCGATATAGTCTCTGATGTCCATTGTCTCTACAAGATGGGCCCTCATCCTGCTCAGTCCTAGGCCTTGACAGATGTTCAGGGCACTCATTGCTGTGGAGCAGCCACCAAGAATGTGTGAACTTTCATCCTGCAAATAAGATGCACGAGTTGTATAATCAAGAGGTCCATCTAGCTCTAGCAGAGGAGTCTGAAGAATTTCTTGGCAGAAAAGAATGTATGGGAGTAGTAGTTTTCAGTGGTACTGCTTGTTGTCTGTAGCAATAACTGTTAATCTTAACTCTTCAGCATTCCAGAATACCGATGAGTGTAATGTTAGGATATGTATTATCCGACATCTTCTTGACAATTTCAAAAGCATGTTTAGAATACAAGTGCTCAAGATACTTTTGCATGTTTCAGTTGGTTGCTGTTTTAATAGGTGCCTGGGTGCTGCCAAACAAATCTGGGTGTGGGAGATCCATCGCCCCCCACCACCCTAAGAAATGAGTCATGCTTGAGAATCTGTTTGGAGCAGAGGCTCCTTGTCATTTTCTCACCCACATTGCAATGCAAGTTGCAAAAGAACAAATTGTGAGCTCTTTTCCACCAATGATGCAAGAGAAGAAAGTGGAAATAGCTGCCTTGAAACAGAGCTGCATTCTTGAACCCTTTAACCTGCATCTAGGGAATGCTTAATAGCTGGTGCTGTGTCCAGGATGGAACTGAGACTTGGTCAAGGAAGCAGAGAGTGGCCACATGGGTGTAGGATCCTAAACACTCCATTAACACCCTCCTACAAGGCCAGGGATAAGGCAGTAATTACAGATGTCTGTAAAATGATACTGGTGTTGCAACCATCACAGAAATGTTTGGTTGAATAAGTAAATCTCAACTGTCTGTACTGAGTAAGCTACTCGTGTTGCATGAGTTATTGAGCAACTTACAATAAGCTTCATAGGCATGATTAAGCAACTTTTCTGATAGAAGGTCCAGTATTCCTTTTGCTTCAAGGTTGAGTAGACAGGCACTGGAAGAGTTCCAGGAAATTTGTTTCTATGTTCTGCCTGTAGACTATTGAGCTTTCCACAGCAGCATCTGACTGGCTGCTGCTGGAAACTGACTGCTCTTTGCTCATCAAGGCCATTCATATGATGTTGGGACATTTCTCCTGCACTTGCTGCAATGCATGTGGTTTCTAATGCTCATATTACAGCATTGCTTGTATTGCAGTGTTGCAGTTTGTATGCTGGAGTTGTACACTGAGGCAATGCTCCCTCTAAGCTGTGGAGTCCTGTGAGCAAAAATTCTACTTTGTGAGTTACTGGCATTAAAGCTGTGAGTGAGCGATTTGGCTACTGCATAAATCAGTTTGCTCTGGAGCCATCCTTCCTGAGCGAAGACAAAAATGTTTGAGCCAGAGGCTAAAAACTGTAAACTAGCTAACACTAACACTGCACTGAGGTTATCTATGCAGGGGGAAAGCAGTTTGGATCAAGTTGCAAATTGTGCAATTGCACCAATGCAAAACAAACGAAACCCACACAGGACATTGTGGGTACAGCATTGTTGGAGGAGATCAGTGTGATAGCCTAACAGCAAATGCACAAATCCAATCTACATGGAGAGGCCAAGACAAAAGAACTGTTGGCTAGAGTTCAATGCAGTAAAAGTAGGCAGCATCATTGATCTCACTGCTGTACATGAGACATGCGGCACTCTGACACATGTGCAGCAGGTTTTTGAATTACAAAAGTTTGTCATTTATGTGCTAGTATACATCAGTATAAATGTGCATGTGGCAGCAGGCTATTGTAAATGCTCGTAGGATCAAGCTTTCAGTTTTTCACTTGAAATGTATTTTAGTGCCTCAAATGTCTTCCTTTGTAATTTACGTGTCATGTCTTGCAGCTGCATGTCTGACAAGCATGCTTGCATACCGAGTCCTGAGTTTTATTTATTTATAAAATACCATCAATGTGGACAGTGTTGGAGTATAAGATGCCTATATTTACATTAAACCCAAATAGTGTGTGTGTGTTGTTTTTGTGTTCTAAAGCATCTTGGTGTACCCTATGAATTCTATCATTGCTCTTCATCATGAAGCTATTTGAGGGCTGCCGTTTAGGGCACTGGTCTTAGCTGTTGGACTGGTCTCAGCTGTTGTATCGGGACTAAATTGGGTTTCATCCTAGGTCAAAGTGTGCCATACCAGGGTCACTGCTGTTGTTTTAATTATTTTTAGTGTAGTGCAGATTTCTCTTGCTTGAATAGAGAGAGGGAGAGAAATGCACATGTTAAAAACAGGTCCCATATTCGAAGTTGAAGCTGATTCCCTCCCCCCAAGATATTGAACTGTATTCACTTTAGCAGCCATCCTTCAATAGCCAGAGCACACATGTCAGTTCTGGGTGTGTGCCTACAATCTTCCCCAGCCTATCAGTAAATGGCAATCTCATCCAGGATACTATGAACTTGGAGGCATTTGATTAAAAGGTCATTGATAAGAGAATCTGCTTACACAAGAGGCATACTAGAGGTCCATTGCCTGAGATAGCTTGTAAGGTGTTCAGTCAAAAGTATTATCAGTTCAAGGCTGCAGGGTGGCATCATGGAAACTGCAAACACATGAAACTGCCTGATACTGAATCAGACCCTTGGTCCATCAAAGTCAGGCAGACTGGCATTGGCTCTTCAGCATCTCAGGCAGAGGTCGTTTGCATCACCTACTGTCTGGCCCTTTTAACTGGAGATACTGGGGATTGAACCTGTGTCTTCCCCTTCAAAAGATAAATGTAGGGGAATTTTAGGGGTCCAGGCCAATTCCAGGGATCCCCAACCCCGTTATGGTTCTTAGGTCTCTTGATGGATTGAGTGTGAGTCTGATGCAGATTCTCTGGAAGTACTAAAACAGCTTTCAAAAGTACAATGCAAAAAGTTGCACAGGAATGCATTTACTTCATGTGTCAAATGTGCCATAGCTCAGCTAGTAATTTGCCATGTGGCAAGACCATAATCTGGAAGAAAGTCTGTCTACATTTCTTTTTCTTTTTTTCTTTTTTTTTGTTGCTGGTTAAC